CTCCCGTTCACAACATTTAAATGCAAAATATGTTTCTTTGAAAGTTGTACTGCTTATAGTTTGACACTTTTCAGTGTCATACTGATGTTGGCATGTGAATGAGTGATTTAAGTCTACAAATGAGTTACAGGATGTTTTCATTAATTGATCTTGAATCTACCATTTTCATGTTCAGTTTTCAGTAGTGAATACCATGTTCTATCTATATCAACTGAACAGGAAGCAATACTATTGTCTCCGTTTAGAAGAATGCAAGCGGATTCCTTGATTTTTCTTTTTTGGTTGTTATCTTCCTTTCCTATGATTTTGATATTAAACCACTCTGCCATATGTTGTCCATCTTCAGTAAGGATATGTTCAGTTAGCTTCGATTTATCGATATGTATTTTCTTGATATTGTACTTGTGTTCTTTAGTCCTTACTGAGAGAGGTCTTTTCGTTTCACCTGTATAATACTTTCCACAAACACAAGGTATACTATAAATACAATTTTTTGATGATTGTTCTTCATTTTTTGGCTTTGTTTGAGTTAGAATGGAATTATGCCTGAGAGCTACATATATTTAATTAGATAATGAGTTTTATTAACAGAGTTTTGGCATGGCTCACCACTATCTCCAATTTTGAGCAATATATTTATGGAGAATTTCGAAGAACACGTTATTAAAAATTACGAAAAACCAAAAACGAGGTGGAGATACGTAGATGACATCTTCATAATTTGGCCACATACCCTTATGGAACTAGATAATTTTCTAGATCATGTGAACAATGCCGAACCTACCATAAAGTTCACTTTGGAAATTGAATCTGACAATCAGTTACCATTTTTAGATGTTCTCATCAAAAAATCAAACAATGTTTTCCTAACAAGTGTATATCATAAAAAGACTTATACTAACAGATACCTCAATTATTTTCAATCAAATCATCAGAAAACTATCAAAAAAAGGAATAATCAAATCACTTCATGATCGAGCCACATCAATATCATCTAACCAACAAATTTTCAATAACGAAATCCACCACATTAAAGATGTTCTTCAACTCAACTCATATCCAAGGAACTTCATTGATACAACGATTCACCAAATTGAAAACAAACAAAATACACCACAACAAAAACAACCATCAATAACGACGAATATAATACCGTACATTCCCCGCATTTCTGAAAAAATAAAACGTGATAAGTTCCAAGTGAAAACTGTGTTCAAAACTGAAAATACAATGAGATCCATTCTAACTCAAACAAAGCCAAAAAAATGAAGAACAATCATCAAAAAATTGTATTTATAGTATACCTTGTGTTTGTGGAAAGTATTATACAGGTGTAACGATCTCTCAGTAAGGACTTAAGTACAATATCAAGAAAAGACATATCGATAAATCGAAGCTAACTGAACATATCCTTACTGAAGATGGACAACATATGGCAGAGTGGAATAATATCAAAATCATAGGAAAGGAAGATAACTAAAAAAGAAAAATCAAGGAATCCGCTTGCATTCTTCCAAACGGAGACAATAGCTTTGCTTCCTGTTCAGTTGATATAGATAGAACATGGTATTCACTACTGAAAACTGAACATAAAAATGGTAGATTCAAGATCAATTAATGAAAACATCCTGTAACTCATTTGTAGACTAAAATCACTCATTCATATGCCAACATCAGTATGATACTGAATAGAGTCAAACTATAAGCAGCCCAACTTTCAAAGAAACATATTTTGCATTTACATGTTGAGACGCTGACAAGCTACTGGATTTTTCTTTTAGACTCCCTGATAGAAAAATTTGTTAAACGCAGTGACATTTTGGGGCAAATCATCTGATTTGTTCCTCTACAAATATATTGAAATAATAGGATTAATTTTTTTTTTATAGAAACGAGGAGAGAAAATCCCAAAGAATCAAGTGAAATAAATAAAACACTTAATAATGATTTATGAATGAATTGCGATGTCTATCTATTGATTCGCGATTTCATACATATATCTGTGTTCGTTGTTTAGGATTGTTGGCGAATACTTTTTAATGATTTATGAATGAATCTCTGTGTCCGTCTATTGTTATTTAGTGTGTGCGTCTTACCATAGGAGCCGGTGTGCACGCCAAATTGCCCCCGATGGCCGTGAAATTGAAGGGAGACATTGCGGTGATGAAGCAGTACCGCATCGAGTTCTTCGTCACTTTATCAATGCGCATATACACATTCATAGAAATCTTCGATTTATTAGATATTTAGAATATATCCATGAAGATTATAAATTTTCTGGCAATGATTCCACAGAGCTATCCCCACCATTCGCGATTTCATTCTTTCATCCGTATTTGGCATTTAGGATTGTTGGCACAGAATACTCAACTTGTTGGCGAATACTTTTTGATGATTTATGAATGAATGGCGGTGTCTGTCAATTGTTATTTAGTGTGTGGGTCTTACCATTAGAGCCGGCGTGTACGCCAAATTGCCCCCGATGGCCGTGAAATTGAAGGGAGACACTGCGGCGATGAAGCCGTCGATGCCGCGGTACCGCATCGAGTTCTTCGTCACTTTCGGGTCCTCGGAGATCGGCTGGTACTTGCTCGCCTCCTTCAGGAAATACGCGTTCAGTCTGCAAGGAGAACGGGGGTGAGTAGGATCATCGACGTGGTTCAATCGGAAGCGAACCCCAACTTTCAATTTTCAACTGGGTCACATTGGTTATTTTGATATTTTTATCAGAATAAGTTTCTAATGTGTGTAAAACCTGAGTCCAAACATCCTGTTTGAAAAACGATAGTTGAAGTTGCTTCTGTTTGAAACGGAAGTGATGAAACGAATATTTTTAGTCAATAAATGAGGAATTTGGTATACTTGCTGCCCATCGAGCTTTGGAATTAATGTTTTTTATGCACTTCTCTGTATAAAATAGGCAAATCGATGTTGAGTTGATTTACTGTGCGAGTATTTATTTTGTGAAAATCGTATTGTTTGTGAAGTTTTATGATTTGAGTTTGATTCATGCGGCAGGAGCGTCGAAAATGTTTTTTTCTTGGTAGGTCATGGCTTTTTGGTTCAAATAATGAAAAAAAAAATCATGCTATAGGAAGACATAAATGATAAACAGTATGACAAACTTAAGATGCGAAGAAACCCCTATATTTCAGTCATTTTTGAAAGCAGATATTTGATTTTTGTTTCACAGACGTATATCTACATGGCCGCACTTTTCGCAATATTATTATTAATAACAATTATAATAACTGTATCGAAAATTGGCAAGTGGGCAAAGGACCTCGCACTAAACTATAGAGAAAATGGCTCTCGATGAAAATCGTTGAATTTTTTGTATGTTTCAGACTTTGATATACTGAACAGATCTTCCATTGAACTAACCTCAAAAAATGGACAGTTTTTCCGATATTGACCTCCAAATGTCAGTTTTTCGAGAAAAAAAAAGTATCTGAAAATGGTTGCAATTTTGGGCATGTTGTAGATAGGAATGAACTGATGAAAAAATCCTATTGACCTAACCTCCAAAAATTGTCAGTTTTCTCGATATTGACCTCCTCCAAATAGAATTTTTTCAAGAAAAAAAAATCTCTGTTACTGGCTGAATTTCTGGTATGTTGTAGATAGGAATGAACTGATAAAAAAATCCAATTGACCTAACCTCAAAAAATTTAAAGTTTTTGTGCACTGTCGCAAACCGTTTTCACTTCAGATCTTATGATTATTATTAATAATAATCATAATAACTGTATCGAAAATTGGCAAGTGGGCAAAGGACCCCGCACTTAACTATAGGGAAAATGGCTCTCGATGAAAATCGTTGAATTTTTTGTATGTTTCAGACTTTGATATACTGAACAGATCTTCCATTGAACAAACCTAAAAAAAATGGACAGTTTTTCCGATATTGACCTCCAAATGTCAGTTTTTCGAGAAAAAAAAGTATCTGAAAATGGTTGCAATTTTGGGCATGTTGTAGATAGGAATGAACTGATGAAAAAATCCTATTGACCTAACCTCCAAAAATTGTCAGTTTTCTCGATATTGACCTCCAAATAGAATTTTTTCAAGAAAAAAAATCTCTGAAACTGGCTGAATTTCTGGTATGTTGTAGATAGGAATGAACTGATGAAAAAATCCAATTGACCTAACCTCAAAAAATTTAAAGTTTTTGTTCACTGTCGCAAACCGTTTTCACTTCAGATCTCTTTACATATTGTAAATATTTATTGAAATTCACTGCGGGACAACGCGTGATGACGTCATATACCGCGATCAATCCATTGCAATTGAGGAGCAACTGAGCAAAATGCATTAATTCCAATTTTAACATTTTTCAAGTGAATGTTACTGAAGTAATACATTTTGGTCAATACACAATCCATAATGTTCACTTCGAGCATAACGCTTCAGATCCATTCAAATTTGCCATATTGTCACGAAAGGATATTTTCCAAATTATTCTCAAATATTACTACTACTATTATTATTATTTCACTGTTCTAATTTATCGAGTTTGTTATATTTCTCAGCAATTCAACTGTCCTCATTCGTGACAAAACATTTTTCAATAAAATAAACATTTGAGGTGATCGATCGGAATCCACGTACCAAGAGGGACTTGACTTTTGGTCCGAATAGCGGACGGTTGCTTGTGGCAACGGGAATGTCCCAATTGGGACATCCTCAAGTTTTTATGTTAGATTATTGTAAGTACCATTTTTATTATTCATTAAATCTTCAACCTAATGCCTCTTCAAGGAATGTCAAAATTGTAATTTATCATTAATAAATCCATATTTGTTTTTGTTGTTCAAACTTAAGTCCTTTTACTGAATATCAACCCTCTGCAAATCCCAACTAGCAAAGGCAATAAGTCACATTCGTGACAATATCAAAAATGGAGATTCGAGCAAAATGCGTTAAATCCTATGAATGATTGAACAAACTGGCATAAATCCATCGGCTGGTTGTCACTGATATGAATCCACAGGAAAGTCTTCTGTGAATGATTTCGTTCTCAAGGAAGTTATCTGTAAATGTTTTCGTTTAGTTGAGTAAATTATCTATAGATGGCCATCTTCATTGAAGATATATTGAGAATTTTTTTTGTCTGAGCAGAATGCAATAAATCCAAAAACTGATCGAGCAAAATGGAATAAATCCATTGATATTTGAGCAAAATGCTATAAATCCACACATTGATTAAGCAAATTGGCATAAATCCAACAAAAAAAGTTGAATAAATGAATATATATACTGTTGAGTTTGGAGAATATCACCATCCAACCTTCAAGAGATTGTTATTCATTTCGATTTGTAACCGAATGAAAATCTGTTTTTGATTAAATCTGATTCAAGCAGTTTTTCATCTTTTACTCAAAATCATATATTATGGATTTAAACCGTTTTGCTCAGTTGCTCCTCAATTATACTATACGATACGATTTATGTATTGTGTTGTGTATACTTCAGTACACAACACTCCAGTCCTACCGTGGAAATAAATCCTCAATTATATGAAGAATTTGGAAATATTCTCGTTGGTTGTTGAGCAATAAAAATCTTCAAAGTTTTTATCGGTATGTCAATGTCACGTCATCGGCGGCTATATAGTGTTGCTGAGAGGTGATTATGAATGAATGAGTGTATCGAATACTTTTATAATAGATGGAATGTTCAAAATAAAATAGATATATGGCATAAATTCGACTAGTGTGTATACCTACAACCCCATTGATTTCGGAAAGACTATATAACCATCTTTTAAATAATATTTATTTCATTACAGCCTCTCTTTGGTTTTCTTCACCTGTGGATGTATCATATGAAGAAGATTTGTTTTTAGAAGAATGAAATACCAAATACTAATTCGAAAACAGCAACTTTGTCTATTGACTATTGTTCCATTCATCTTATTTTCCATACGTACACTTGGAGGTTAATATCGAAAAACTGTAAATTTTTTTAGGTTAGGTCAATTGGGTTTTTCCATCAGTGCATTCCTATCTACAACATTCCAGAAATTCAACTATTTTCAGATACTTTTTTTTCTCTCTAAAAAAAAAATGACATTTGGAGGTCTATATCGGAAAAACTGTCCATTTCTTGGGGTTCGTTCAATGGAATATCTGTTCAGTATATCAAAGTCTGCAACTTACCAAAAATTCAGCGATTTTCATCGAGAGCCATTTTCCCTATAGTTTAGTGCGGGGTTACAAAAATATGATGAAAGGAATATTGAGGGGAATGTTGTAAACAACGGAGAAGAAAATAGTGGACAAAGCCCTCAGAAAAAGATATCCGTAGACACGTGTTTCGGGCTTTAGGCCCTCATCAGTACGGTGAAAAGAGTGTGAAGGATACGCAACACTTGATGGAAGACGAAACAATAAAATAACGGAGTCAACAAACAGAAGCCAGCCGCATAATTGTGGTTTCGGTCAGGAGACCCCGAGTATTCAGGAAAACAACTATCGTCACCACGGAGGCAGCTATAGCTACCTGCGTGACAACCGAGTCCAGGATAACAAACATGATGAAAGGAATATTGTCCACTATTTTATTCTCCGTCGTTTACAACATTCTCCTCAAGAGAAAAGTACCCTTATTTCAGAAAATTCAGCAAAATTTTATTGGGAAAAGTTCTTAACAATGAAAGTTGTGCCTAAATACCAAAACACGTGGCCGTTAGACATTTTTTAGTTTTTGAATTATAATCGTTAATAATTTCACAAATTGTAATATTTTAAATACAAAAAAATGCATATTATCATTAATGATTTTTTACCTTGTTAAAAATATGGTTTGCGAAATTTCAAAGTTAAGCTGAATATCGTTGCAACAAACATAAAGATTGTGATGATGCCCTAAAAAATTCAAATCCGAGTTAATTGCACAAATAAGCTTGAATTTAAACAAAAGTATGCTCAACTGATTTTGTATGATCAATTTATGAAAGTATTGAGGGTGAATATGAAAAAAAAAATACAAATTGGGAAATTATTCACGAACAAAATTATTGAAAAACTAAAAAATGTCTTAGGAGGCCATGTTTTGGTATTTAGGCATATCTTTCAATTGTAAACAACTTTTCTCAATAACATTTTGCTGAATTTTCTGAAATAAAGGTACTTTACTCTTGAGCAATTTCCATATTTTTTGGCCTACCCTGTGTGCTGTGTGACTTGCAACCATTCTGAGAGCACCGAAAATAGTTACTGAACATGCACCAACTTTCGGCACTATCTGTATTTTGGTTGTGAAATTCATTAAAAAGATTCCCATATGTTGCACACTTAAATGACCACACTGTATAGGGTGATGACAATTTGAAAGCTTAGAATTGATGTAACTCATGTTCAAAATGAAATACATATCACAAATGGTTCATAACTGTTTATATAATATATAAAAAGGAAAATAAAATGTCTCATGAAATACCCCGACCAACCCGATGTCACAACCACCCCAACGCATATCATTTCGATTTCTTTCTCATACTACAAAAAGTTACGCAATTAATACGTCACACTAGCCTAGCAGAATGATATAGGTAAAGAATATTTTTTGTTAGTTCACCCAGTCCGAGATATAAATAATACCACTGAAAAGCATTTTCACCAAACTATTCAATGAGGTATCACTAGTAGGGGCTACTATTGAACTGATATGCGTTGGGGTGGTTGTGACTCAGGGGGTTGATGGGGGTATTTCATGAGACATTTTATTTTTCACTTTATATATTATACAGGGTGAGTCAAGCTGAACGCATCGGGCTATAATAGCCAAACGGTGAACTTTCTGAGAAATAATTTCATTCAGGCGAAATTATGTCGATCTGGACTACATTTTGAAAATGGTGTGATGAATACAGAGTGTCCCGAGAAAAGGTGGCATATCAAAGTTGTACTTTTTTAAATGGAACACCCTAAATTTTATTGCATTTCTGAATTCTACGATGAAAAATAAACTAACTTTGCTGAGGTTTCTTTATACCTAATTCTCTTAGTTTTCGAGATTTTTCAATTTTTCTAAAAATATGGGGTATTAACAAAACCTTAATATCATTGAAGCACGATAATTTGAATGTACCAATTTTCAACAGTATACTTCGAGTAATTCGAGCTAATAGATGGGGCATAAGTGGTCGATAAATACTATACGGGGTGTTTTATATTGCCAGGTACTCTCACTGTAACTTCAAACTATAATAACTTGGTTGATTCAAATAGAACACCCAGTATTTTTTCGTTCCAAGTAATGCAGAATTCAATTCCCTTCCAAACTATACTATATTTCCCTATACTATAGTCTCATACTTTCCGAGCTATTGCAGTTTCTTTGATATAATCGAGATAAACTACATTTCATCGAAATGGCTTATCTTCAATACAGAAATATTTGATACAAATCATAACATCAAGATGGCTAATGTCAGCTAGCTGAGTAATCTGTCAGTTGGTTATTTAATTCATCACTAATTTGTCAGTTTGTAGAAAATAAAAAAGTATACTGTTGATGAGAGAGTTGATATGATTTTAACCATTGGAGAGTGTCACGAAAATTGCTTCTTAGCATCAAGGGTATATGCACAAAAGTTTCCTGACAGGTAGCATCCAGATGAAAATGGTTTCCAAAGATTGTTACTGTTGAGTATAATAAACGGGAGTACAAGTACCAGAATTATATCAAGAGAAATAGGTATGCGTCAATCCAGTGTGAGCAGAATTCTCAAGACTCACAAATTTGGGGGAATTGTGGGAAATTATTTAATCTTTTCGATGGACATTTGACTGGGAGGAAATCTTTGAGATTTCTGAAAACAGACTTCTTGAATCTTCTAGAAGACATTCCTTTGGACGTGAGACAAAATATGTGGTTACAGTTAGACGGTGCGCCTGCACATTACCAAAGAAGTGTCAGAAATTATATCCAACGAGAAATCCCAAATAAGTGGATAGGGAGAGGTAGCCCATGTAACTGGCCAGCAAGATCCCCTGACTTAACGTCAATGGATTTTTTCCTATGGGGTTATATAAAGAATATTGTTTATAGAACTCCACCTACTACCCCCGACGATATGAAAATGCGGATCAACAATGCCTTTGCGAATCTCTGCTTTGCGACAGTTACGTCCTGATATTCTCATAAACGTCAGAAGCTCCTTTGAAAACAGAATCAGACTGTGTATTCAAGAAGATGGTGGTCATTTTGAGAATTTATTATAATTTTTTAATTTTTTAATCATTCGAATAACTTGAACATTGAAATCATCATTATTTTCTCCAAATGAGGAGAAAAAATCAATAACCAATTAAAAAATCAACTTGATGGTTTATCATGATTCGTATTCATATTCAGTATTAGAGACCAGTCGCCATCCCGATGAAATGTAGTTATTATGGAAATTAATCGTTATCTCGATTATATCAAAGAAACTGCAATAGCTCGGAAAGTATGAGACTATAGTATAGGGAAATAAAGTATAGTTTAGAATGGAATTGAATTCTGCATTACTTGGAACGAAAAAATACTGGGTGTTCTATTCGAATTAACCAAGTTATAATAGTTTGAAGTTACAGGAAGAGTACCTGGAAATATAAAACACCCCGTATAGTATTTATCGACCACTTATGTCCCATCTATTACCTCGAAGTATTCGAAGTATACTGTTGAAAATTGGTACATTCAAATTATCGTGCTTCAATGATATTAAGGTTTTGGTAATACCTCACATTTTCAGATAAATTGAAAAAATCTCGAAAACTAAGAGAATTATGTATAGGGAAACCTCATCAAAGTTAGTTTATTTTTCATCGTAGAATTCAGAAATGCAATAAAATATAGGGTGTTCCATTTAAAAAAGTACAACTTTGATGTGCCACGTTTTTTCGAGACACTCTGTATTCATCACACTATTTTCAAAATGTAGTCCAGATCGACATAATTTCGCCTGAATGAAATTATTTCTCAGAAAGTTCACCGTTTGGCCATTATAGCCCGATGCGCTCAGCTTGACTCACCCTAAACAGTTATGAACACTAGTGATATGTATCTGATTTTGTACATGAGTTATATCAATTCTGAGCTCTCAAATTGTCATCTCCCTATATGTATATGGCAAACCAAACATTGTATCAGAGGAAATCATATGAATCCTCATGTTGATGATCAAGATCAATAGTGTCAAATAATTGTCCGATTCTAGCCGTTTGTTTTAAAGTCTTCAGTGATTTAGTAAAAATCGAAATTCTGATATTTTCTCTATTTGTCTATTCCCATGAATATTACCTTGTCATGATGGAATTCAATACCATGTATGTGATATTATTATCTATTCGAATAGAGGGTTTCATGAGGTAGAAATTAGACGTGGAGCGTTTATTACTACTGAAGATTCATCACGACTTAGAGCACATAATTCAAATCGATGCAAAATATTCTAAAGACAAAATCAAATGATTGACACCCTGTAGCTCGAAAACTGTTCATAGGATTGATCTGTAAATTGGACTGTGTAATAAGGACTCTAATATCTGAAACATCAAATTTTCAGAAAAATTAGCCGAAAGTCATTGTCCGTACTAAATGTGCTGGGTCCTTTCCGACCTACCTGAAAAAATCAACAAGTTCGGCGGCAGAGTCGATCTCCGCCTGGATAATAGTTTTAGCCTGACCGAGCATCGTGGCGGCATTCAATTTCGCCCTGTATTCCTTGGCCATCAGCGATGCTGCCGTCTCCCAAATCCTCAACCTGAAAAAATCGAAATTTTGTTATTCTCATTGATTTCTCGGTGGCGAAACCATTGTCGTTCTACATGGAAAGCTAGTTAGTAGGAGGGATGGTATAATATTGTCTGTTCATTGATTGATTGTCTTTATTACCCTTAGGGTGCTATGGTCTGCCCCTACTCACGAAATCGTTGCGACAGTTTTTACTGGCGGTTAATTTCTAGTCGTTTGAAAATTACCGTGGCATTATTGATGATTTAAGCACCTAAAAATAGACCGGAAATTCTTAAAAAATATGAAATTGAAACGTTTTTGAGTGAGTAATATAACTTATATACACGCCTGGTTAGATTGGAATAGATAATCATAAAACTTGATTATTAAATATCTAGTGACGATATTTCGCAAAAGTGTGAATTTTGGAAGGGTACTTCTGAATTTCTTTGTTATAAAACAGCATAATTTGAGGTTATATATCAAAATCTAATTCAGTAAATTTCAATGTTTGTATGAATTGACTGTTGGTTCTGGAAATTGTAGATGAAAAGAAGCGAGAGGTGCTAGAGGGGGTTCACCATCGACTGAAAAAGTCCTGAAGATAGACCTATGTAACATCCGAGGTCTAAGTAAGAACATCAACGAAGTCCATCGACACCTTCAAATTTCAAAGCCAGACATATTGGCTCTTACTGAGACACAGGTCAATTCATCCACCAATACGACCTATCTGCTCTGTCCTGGGTACGAACTCCACACACGTTTCAGATTCAAGGGAGGTCTCTGTCTCTACTCTAAAACGAATCTCTCATGTCAACGAGAAAAAACTTTGGAACCAAATAAGTTTGATGTCATGTGGTTCAAGCTCGATAGCCAGAAACAGACCAAATACCTTTGTTGTCTCTACTTATCACCAAATGATCCATCCTATGAAGAGCTCTTCGAATTCTTGTCTCTGAAGCTTGACCAAATTCAACAGAACCATCCAGCAGCAGAAATCATCATCATGGGCGATTTCAATGTACACAACACTGCTTGGCTCGTACACTCTAACAGAACGGATGAAGCTGGGCGACAAGCCGAAGCTCTCGCCATCACTCACGGCTTAGAGCAGCTTATCAAAGAACCCACACGAATTCCCGATGCCAATAACCATTCAGCTAACATACTTGACTTATTCCTCACTAATAATTCAGAACCCTACACCATAGATGTACGAGCTCCACTTGGCAATTCTGACCACACACTCATCTCCACAACCTGCCCATTTTTCATTCCATCAAATGATCCGGCACCCCCACGTCGTATATGGAATTACAATTCAGGAGATTGGGACGGTCTCCGCATGTTTTTCTCCGAGTTTCCTTGGCATAGAGTATGCTTTGACTCTGAGGACCCTTCACAGTGTGCTGCGGAAATATCCGAGATCATCATGCTCGGAATGGACACATACATACCCCATTCTTCAAAAAGATCATCACCATCGAACCCCTGGTTCAACAAAAACTGTTCTAGAACTGTTGCCTTGAAACAAACAGCCTACCATCGCTGGCGCAAAAACCCTAACCTCGCGACTAGAGCAGAATACGTTGATGCCAGAAATAACTGCAGCCAAACAATAGATGCTTCGAAAGAATCATACAATGCCAAGATAAGATCGAAACTCATAGATTGTCCCAATGGCTCCCGTTCGTTTTGGTCCCTTGCTAAAGCGGTCGGAAGAAATTTCACTAATAGTTCATTTCCACCACTGTCCAAATCCGACGGCACATTAGCAACAACATCGCAGGAGAAAGCAAATATTTTTGCAGAGATTTTCGCAGCAAACTCTACTTTAGATTCTCAAGGAAAAGTGCCGCCAGACATTCCACCCGTTGAGAGTCGAATGCCCGAAATCGTCTTCCGTCAACGCTCTATCAGACGAATTTTGCTTGATCTCAAAACGAATAAGGCTAACGGTCCTGATGGAATTCCACCCATTATCCTCAAAAAATGTGCACCAGAATTAACACCGATTCTCTGCAAGTTGTTTACCGTCTCGTACAGGTCGGGTATTTTTCCATCATGCTGGAAGACCTCTAGAGTCCAACCAATCCCCAAAAAAGGGAACAAGAACCTGCCCAACAACTACAGGCCCATTGCCCTGTTATCAGTAATCTCCAAAGTTATGGAGAAAGCCATCAACATTGAGCTCATCAAATATTTGGAGAGCTCGGGAATCATCAATGATAGACAATACGGCTTTCGCCACCGAAAATCTACTGGAGATCTGCTTGCCTACGTCACCCATTTATGGCAAGCTTCATTAGAAGAACACGGGGAATCTCTAGCTGTCGCTTTGGACATATCGAAAGCATTTGACCGTGTTTGGCACGAAGGACTCCTCCACAAACTACCATCATACGGCTTACCACCTCAGCTATGCCATCTCTTATCGAGTTTTCTTTCAGGCAGATCGCTTCATGTGGTGGTAGACGGTGTATCGTCTGATACAATTGGCATCAATTCCGGCGTTCCACAAGGATCAATTTTGGCACCAACATTATTCCTTCTTCATATCAATGATCTGTTGGGAGTAACAACTTGCCCCATCCACAGCTTTGCAGATGATAGTACCCTCCATACAGCGTTCTCTTCCAGAATTCCTATTTCTTCCCAGGAAACTAAGAACACACGGCGCAGGCAGGTCAATGCTGTCAATGAAGACCTTGCTGAAATCACAGCCTGGGGAACCAACAACCTAGTTGAATTCAACGCCACCAAAACTCAAGCCTGTATTTTCTCTAGAAAGGCGGAACTCAGTATGCTCGACATTGTAATGTCTAGCACCACCATCCCCACCAAGCCCACCATGTCTATGCTCGGTATTTCCATCAGCAACACTCTTTCATGGGATAATCATGTCAGATCCATCGCAAAAGCTGCTTCACAAAAACTCGGATTCTTGTTCCGTGCGAAATGCTACTTTACACCTCAACAGCTCCTCATGATCTACAAAGCACAGATACGGCCTGTTCTAGAATACTGTTCCCACATATGGGGTTCAGCACCGAAACATACGCTAATGCTCTTAGATTCCATCCAGAGAAGAGCCATCCGCCTGGTGGGTGACGCCACACTCACTCGCTCTTTGACATCATTGGAACACCGTAGAAAGGTCGGCGACCTTTCACTTTTCTATCGATACTTCCACGGGAAATGTTCTTCGGAAATCTCTGCTATCATCCCTTCACCAGCAATACCAGTCAGACGAACTAGACAAGCCCAGTCAGCACATCCCTTCGTTGTCAACCTCGAAAGATGCCGAACAGCATCAAAACTCCTTCATCCATAGAACGGCTGGGCTCTGGAATTCATTGCCTGAGGAAGTATTCCCAACAACATATAATCTCCAGAAGTTCAAAAAAAATTCCAATACCTACCTCCTATCCCTATCCTCCCGCACGATGTTCTTTGAACATTATAGGGATTCCCTCTCGTGCGCTCCAAGCGATAAAAAAAAAAATCAATTGTTTCGTTTTGTAATTTCATTGTCCAAAAATTAGTCTGCTTGTCAATGCACTTCTACAAGAGGTAGAGGTATGTAAACTCTTCAAAACTATTTTCTCAATGATGACATGAATTTGAGGCAACATACAATGACTTCCAACAACATCAGGTAAGAGTTTCTTCTCGAGCCACATATGTATTATTTATTTTATAAAAATTAAATGATATTCCAGGTATACAGATAATGTAGTGAGTTATTATTAACAATATGGCAGAAATAAGCAGTTCCTAGCTTTTCATTCCTAACTATAAACAGTATTGTTTTATCACAGCACTGATGAGTTTTCAGTTCTTACTCAAATTCAAATAACATCAATGAATCGAGAATCTCATCATTGTATAAACAACAGTTTCTTCTTTATGCACCCTACTTTCCTCATTCGTGTATGTACTTGAAATATTCCAACATGAGAAATTTCTGGTTATAAACTTGACAGAAAAGTGAATCTTCACAGGAATTTTAAGAATGTCTAGTCGTCCAAGAGACGGTTGCAAATTTTGACAGTCACTTGATAACCAAATATCATATTCTCATCCGACACCAATTGAATGGTAGATCTCACAATCCTACTATACCTTAAGTTGAGTTAAATCATCGGCACAACAAATGTTTTGCCATGTGATACGGAGTTGAAACAAAATGCAAATAAAAGGGGATAATATTCTCTTCTCGAATATCCAAACGTCCCGTGATGGCACAGTGTCAATATTTAGAAGAATATTTCTCCTCTGTCAGAAGATAATATCTGATGAACCAGAACATTGAACTGATGATCCATCGGATATTATTTTTCAACATGGACGAAATAGTCTCGTAAATATTGATACTCTGCCACTAACTTAGATCAGTTTGAATCGCGAAACGTTTGGGTATTCACCCATGGGGACATGTTTCCCCTTCAACGGCATATTATTTCAAATCGTTATCACGTGAATAAAAATCTCCGAGGATTTGACTCAGATTAAGGGATGAAAAGGTAGGGTTTTGAGATCTACCATTCAATGGGAGACTTCGCTCCAACTTGCCAACCCGAAAACCTCTACCAATGTAGAACCAACATTATGGAAGTTTGATTACTCAAATGGCTTTATGTTTATGAAATCTGATTCTAGGAGTCTTAGCCTGATCAAACGGTATTCAATAGTGCTTGTATCGTAACTTGAATCCGGTAGAAGGTTTCTCAACGGAATCATACGTTTTTATGGGTTCGGAAGCGAATCTGAAGTTTGCTGCCTCTTAGCAGGAACACCTTAGGTCAAAATACGCAAAAAAAACTCAAAATTTTTGGAGTTTTTTCTGAACAAAGGTATCACGGTATTCAAAGTTGCGGAACATAAAATTCAGCGTAGAATGACGTCTCTATCTTCCTTATTTTCAAATTCGTGTGGTCGCTTCTGTCATTCGAGAAATGTCAACAATGACAAGCAAGCAAGGATGAATAATCAAACTGTTGCTATTGGGAGAGAAGATGTATA